CCGCCTAATCCAGCCCGAGCTCGTGGGCCGCGGGTGCATTTATCATCCCATTACTGTAACAAATCCGGGCTCCACTACATGAAAGGTAAAATGAATTACCGACGTTAAGCCGTCAATAAAGTCATTTCTGTAAATGGTGTCTCCAAAGGGCCGCCGCATTATTCAGCTGGCTTTATCAGCTGGCTGAAAATTACGTGGAGGAGCCGGCCGCGCGGCGCGCGGGGCCGCTCACTTTGATTAAGCGTCTTGCCAGCGCGATGTGACAGAGCTTTTGACCAGGGTTTTATTCACAGGCCTGTGATGAACGCCAAGCTGATCAGGCGGAATGAAGAGTAATTAAAACCTATAAATTATCTTCCGCAGCCCTTCTCGAGGCGTCTCCTGCAGGCGAGATAAGGCGTCGAGACCCTATTTACGGCGCTGAAAGGGACCGCGGCGCACAAAAGCTACGCGGCTAAATAGGATATTGATAGTGTCCTAATTAGAATTTAATTAAGTACCCACGCTTGCTTGCGGGATAAAGATTTCAATTTTGCGAACTTAAATATAAATAAAATCCCACCCCCATTTTGAGGAGGAGTAGGGGTGCCTGGAGATTTTGGGGAGCTCTTGGGTATGGAACGGAAGGAGACTCAGGAGGTTCCCAAGGTGGGGTTGGGGAAGGCTTGGGAAAGTTGAGGGTACCGAGGTGGGCCAGTCCAGCGGCGCTCCGCAGAGAGATGCTCCCACCGGGCAACTGCGCAGGTCTGGGCTGAAACTCAGCTCTGGAAATCTGAGGACCTTCGGCTGACCCCCAGATGCAGTGGCCAGCCCACTAACTAGCTCTCCACTAACTACCTACCAAGGTAGTTCAGCTTGTGCTTTTGTTTGTACGTTCTTTCTAACCCAACCCTCTCTGTTTCTGTCTTTTTTTTTTTTTAACTGGGTAGGAGTATTATTTCCCACGTTCCAAACTTACAAATTCCCGAAGAGATTCTTTCTCCACGTCCCAGTAAGGGAATGACCGTCAGGAAGCGAATGTGCCCTGGCGTTCCCTGATATCCCCGCAAAGGCCTTGTTTGCCGGCGCCTTTCTGATATTGCAGGCTTCACCCAAGGTTGGCCCTCCCGGACAGCTTCACAGGCAAACCCTTCCGAATCCCTGCCTGCGGAAAACTGGGTGCCTCGACCAGGAAACAGCGAAAAAGCCCAACCGATGGAAGTCTAGGAAAAGCTGGAGGCACCGTAGTCCTCCAAGGCTAGGAGGGAATTCGAAAGGCTAGAGCCAAAGGCATCCAGGATGCCGGGAGTAATGCTAGGAGGTTCAGTTACCCTCAAACTAAGGGAGAGTCCTAGCCCACCTCTTGTGCGGGCCGGGGCAAACAAACAGGACGCAGTGCTTTTGTTTGATTTTTACTTTGCAGGGAAATCTAGCTCGGGGTCTCCCGAAAACAGAACTCAGGCCCTGCGCATCCACGTAGTGACTGGCTTGGCCCTCCTGGCACAGCTCAGCCACGCAGGACAACGCGGGTTCCTGAAGCCAGGGCAGGAGCACGAGGCTGTAGGGAGGCTCTTCTGTGTCCTCTGGGCCTGGCCGGATGGCGCCAAGCATTTCTTTTGGTCGAAGGACCAAACAGGGAAGGGTATGGGTGCGGACCGCCCCCTCGGCCGCCTGGGCCAAAAAAAAAAAAAAAAAAAGGGCAAGCAGTGTAGCAGTGTACGGGCCTGCTTGAGACTTACAAGCCCGCAATGATAGCTAGGCGCAGCAGGCTTTCAGGTTTGTTCTTTGTGAAAAATAAACTGTTTCCAAAAGTAGACAACCCCACATCACCAACTCCTGATCCTCCACTCCCAACACACACACAAACACACACACACCAATACTAACAACAAGCTTTCACTCTTCAGAAATGCAACAACAAAGAGAATTAAAGGCTGAATTTCTTAGGCGTGGGGGTGCAGAACCCAGGCCTCTGCCTCCTGATTCGGTGCCCAGCGCGCACGCACCCATAATCCAGCATTCTCCAACAAGTTGTTTATGGAGTTGCTTCTCTATTTGCCTACACCCCGAAGTCCGCCCCTCTTAGATCTCTTCTGCCCCCTCCCCGGTCCCAGCTTGAAGGAGGGGGAGGGGCGTGATTGCGCGTGGGGAAGGGCGGGCGGGACCCATAGGGCC